CAGTTCCGTTCGCCTGTAGTTGAAAAAAGGTAAAAGAGGTTGTTTCTTTCAGGTTCCTTCCATTTATGCTGGCTGATTGTTGTCTGCTGTTGTTGTCGATTCAATACAGCCTTCTGTTCAGGTTCTTACAATTATAAAATATATTAGTTGTCGTTACAATAATGAGAGACAGTTATATGGTGGATACATTTTTTAACGTAGAGTAACATATTCGTTATAGGGTGAAAAAATAAATAGTATTTGTGTGACAAATGCACTGGACTCAATGCAATGTCAAAATATTTTGAAATGTGAGACAATGATGGTTAATTGGTCATAACAGGTAGTTATGTAATGCGTACAATTATTAGGCAGGTTCGTCCACGCATTCGAGAACACTGGACAACCCGGCTCTGTAGAGGGGAACCAAGTGCATAAAACGATCAGTTCCATCACATGTGGTCGATACTAGATATCGCATCTACGCTAAACTTGACTCCAAGGTTATATACTACATTCTGATGTCATTATCACATTCAGTTTGCCTAGATCTTCTGCATATAGACGAAGCTGTTCGAACTTAGTATATGTCTCTACCTATTTCAATTCGCACACTGATTATTTCATGGTGAACCTCTCATTGCAGTCTTACTATCTCTTCTTTAATACATAATACTTCGCACTAGCCACTCATCTGACACTTAACCCACATTCTATTATTATATTATGACTAATGCCCATCATCAATGACTCGTCTTTCACATTATTTATGTAACTGATATCAACCTAGCACGTTTGTCACACAAGTACTATTTCTGACTATGTTGACGCCCCAAAAATAATCTGTAATTCTACGTTAAAAAATGTATCCACCATATAACTGGCCATTACTCTAATGATAACAATTATAAATATTAAAAATATTCTTCATTCAGAGTAACATTCAGATTCACAAATGCTGAATTTATCGCCTACTTCGACAAGGCTGTCTAATATCGAATTTAAAACAATCAACAAAAATTAATGATGACGTTTTGAGCAGGAACTATTGTCCGTAATCATATCAAGTCACTCACTCACACAACTTTCTTGCTTCATTCATATGCATGAGTAAAATTGATTAGAAATTTGAATAAAAGTCAATATAAGAAAAAGCGAATTAGGAAACAATATTAGTGTTATCAATCAAATGCAGTCAGATTGGAAATAAGGTGTTTTTTTACAGCAAAAAATAAGTAACTTGTTAGAATGTTATTATGCACGTGAATTAAAATAGAATTTCAAGGTTATTTATTATCCTCCTCTGATTTGACTGACTGATCAGTAGTAATAATATCTTCCATGCATATCTCTGGTATTTTGCCTTGAGTCACTTCTATTGCACGTGTTGGGTGTATACTCGATGAACCAAGCAGGATTCAATAATCAATCTCTTTCTCCACCTACCCATATTACTTCTTATAATTTTGACTCTGTTCCACTCACCCTACTGTGTGGTTGTGTGTTAATGCATGCAGTGCGATTGGTGAGCTTTTTTCTAAATTACTTATCTTCGTTGGATCAATAATTCTGACCTTAACTAAATTCTTATGTTCCGACAATCTGCCTACCCCTAATCCACTAGTCTGACCTATGTAGTTGAACTATCTCACAGTGATCGCAAGGTGTTTTGTAAATTACATTGTTTTGTTTAATAGTGTCCACAAGGTGTTTTAGCCTACAGAGCTTGACTCTAAGTGAGTTTCGTAAGAATGATTGACCTCACTCGCAAAGATAAGTAATTTCGAAAAAGCTCAACGACTGCGCTGCATAAATTAACACACAAACACACAACAGGGTGGATGGGACAGTGTCAAAATTGTAAAAAGTAATCCATGTAGGTGGAGAGAGAGAGTGATTACTGAATCCCGCCTGGTTCATTGTGTTTACACCCAACACATGCAACAGAAATGATTCAATGCAAATACCAGAGATATACATGGAAGATATTATTACCACCAGTCAGTCAGTCAAATCAGAGGAGGATAATAAATAATCTGCAAATTCTATTTCAATTCACGTACATTGACTATAAAAACAGTCGTCTTATTTCCCATCTGATTGTATTTGATCAATCACACTCATATTATTATTATTTCTGAATGTCCATTATCCTATATTGGTTGATTTTTATTCAAATGTCTAGTCATCATTTCCACACACGTATATAAATGAAATAAAAAAAAATGTGTGAGCGAGTGACTTGATATGATTATGAGCAGCAATAATTTGAGCTCGAAACGTGGTGGTCATCAGTTAATATTACTGTATAACAAACACTGTGTGATTTATCAAAATAAAATCTTATCAATAATGGAGTTATATTCTACAACAGTGCCCAAGTTTTACACTGTAATGCATTTCGTCTTAAGTTTATATCCCTGTATGCAGAGTATCCAGCTGAGGAAATGTTCTACAGAAATTTGATGATTTCATTAAATCCTGCTTTATTAACTTTTGTTGATTGTTTTAAATTCGTATCGGGAAGTAAATGTTCCTAATATCTAACTATTGATGGATTTGACTACACGCTAATTTATCTATAACTGGTAGGTGTTCTTTCCTGAGCACGAAAAATTAAGATGCACTTAGAAATGGTTAGCCTAGTTACTGAGTCTTTCAATTGAGGAATCACAGCGGCTAACTGGCATTAAACGTTCTTTGGATTAATTAATTTTCTCAACTTGTTGGTTATCATTCCACTTTTGAGTTGTAGTCATTTGTAGTGAGTGCTCTTCATAACGGATGTAGCGAAATTGCTTTCTACTCTCTTGAGTATATTAATATTTTTTGATAAACTTTTTCAGGGTAGATGTTTTCAGCTAACGTTTCACGCCCAACTTTAATTTCGTTTTCGATTGCATCTTCCTGACAAATACCTCGAGACAAATACCTGAAGGTCTTTGCCAAATTTCTTTTGTATTAGATAAGAACAAAGGTGTGAAAATGTGACCTGTCCGTGTACTTTTTTGAAAAAATTCATTTCTACACTTCCATCTGGTCTCCACATGAGTAGGACATCTCAGAAGGATTTGCTAACTAAACAAACTTCACTGGTTTGTAGTATTAGTGAACATCTGTCCAAAACATTTCCACAAAGGATTAAAGTATCATATACATACCGGCAATAAAATAAGAATTCGGTGATTAAACTGCTTAAAGGACCATTTTATACTTTAATTAAGAATAAATCTGACAAGGAGTTCATTTCTACTCCGTTCGTCTGTCTTTTAAATGCGTTGAATGTCAATCAGGCAGTCAATATTAGTATATAGCATCATTAGCCTAAAAATGAGTTTTTTTTTAATTACAGCTTGATGCCACACCGTATTTTCAGTACAAGTATGACATTTTCAGCGTGGATATCGGTAGCCCAAATTTAGGCCGACCATAGATATCGGGTGTGCGTCGGTATGGGTTCGAACCTCGGACCATGTGCATGGTCGGCGAGAGTCCTAACCACTGTGCCACCGACGCACGAAATTAAAAACTTCCGCCATTAATTGTGCACCTTGTGAAAACAAGAACGGAATGCGCCCAATTTGATTTTCGTTTTGAACTAAGATTTTTAGATGCAAAACCTGTTGGTTGGTACATAAGTGTATCAAGTGTCTATTCGATTCTGTTTAAGTTCCCTGATTCACTCTGAAAAACTGTGTTACTATTTTGTAGGAGCTAATCAGTTTCTTTACATCTATTTCCTGGAGGAATTTCACAAACTTGTGAAGCATTCTCCGCGTATAACACCATTAATATAAATGTGAAACTTAGGCACTGTGGTAGTGAGTAATTTCATATTAATTTGTTTATTAGACATATCACACACTGAGTGAAACAGTATTATTTACTAGATGATAAAGTTTCAAAAAACATTTATTCTTCATAATCAAGTCAATTATCAATCTAGGAAGCATGATTCCAACCACAGGTGGGACGGACGAAGATGGCAAAACCAGCCAGAGACGGATAGGCAAGACAGAGCTTCGTTACTCTGAAAGTAGTTTGGAAATCTTCTGCACTCCGCCTCAGTATAAAGAATAAGATTCAGATTTTCAACACCAATGTTAAGTCAGTCAATTCATCTAAATAGTTCAGGAACTTAAGGAATGTGCCACAAAAAGCATTTCTAACAGACTGTAGACCTTTATTAACAGCTGCCAATGCACCTTGCTGAAGATCACATGAGAATGATGATAAACGTAACACATAGGACTGAATATATGTTTATACATATATGAAAGTGTCTGCTTATACTCATGTGTTACTAAAACACCGTATTTCATTAAAGACGCAGTGAATAAAGTAAATTTCAAAACGCGTGGTGTTTTTCGCTTCCACCTTTTATAAACAGCTGCTATACACCATATTAATGTGTTCACTAGATGTATCACACAGTGATGAAACAGTATTATTAACTGGATGACACACTTTCGAACACGATTTATTCGTGTTCATAATCACATTATCAATTATAATCACACGAATTCGAAACTTGAGTTTTATAGTTTTCTTCGAAACTCCAACCCCACTTCTCGACTGGATGGACCCCATTGTTCACGACTTCCTACTGTATCTCCATGAAAATTCAGCCTGTAGACAGTCACTAGCTAGCATGAGATTAATTTTTCAAGAATTAGTTTTATAAGGATTTTATTTGTTTCTGGTCTAACTGATATCCATCCATGGTCTAACCACACTTATGTACCTCATTGTACAGCTTGATCAACCGAAATTCGTTGAAAATAGTCTCTTCGCTGAAGTTTCTGTTCTTAATGCAAATATAAGGTCATCCAACTGAAATACAGTAATCTGATTGGTTCAAGTGTGATAACCAACTTTTTGTTGACTTTCCCTATATTATTTTGTGCATGTATCTATCTACGTCTGTATGTATGTATGTATTATTGGATAAGCAACTATTCTCCTGTTCTCCTATTAGCATGTTCATCTCTTAATAACTGATTACTGTTCGTTTGTTAACAGTTAGTTAGTGAGTTAGCTAACTGTGCATAGATAGATGATGACAGGCATTCAGGTTGATCTATCTCCATTACTCTCATTGAACCATGAATGTAGTTATAATATTTTAATTTATGCTTATATTTGAATTGTTTTATCGGATAATGAAGGTGTGAAAAATACATACACGTATATATATATATATATTTATATAAATATGTAAAATGACGGATAAATTCATATTCTACTCCAAAAATAAACAACAAAAGAACAGTCAAAAAGAATTTAAAAATGTTAACTATTAAAATTCGTCCATGAAATAAGCGATTAATTTAAAAATTTGTTATCAACATGTTCAATGTTACAACTTAAAAGAACATTGTAAAGACCAGTTGTGGAAGCAATAATTCAAAATACCGTTTTATTAAATGGGGAATATTTACATAAAAAGCAGAATAACTAACTAACTGACTAACTAACTTCATTGATTTCTACTTCATTGTGTCTGTACCTGCCCGCAACCTCATTCATTTTTGTGGGGATTTTGTGCATTTTGTCGACGGAAGTCAGTTAGAAATATACATTTAAGACTTATTATTAATAAATATACATGAATATGAGGCAGGGTAAATCAGTATTTGTACGCAGTAAATTTCGTATGCTTAAACGTACGCAAACAATGCATGTTGAATATACTGGACCTATGGAAGAATCTGCTGTAAGCTAAACTTTCATCATTTGAATTACTTATATTTTGTATAACATCTATTTGGTAGTCAGCGTTGACTTGTGGTTATTTTATTTTTTTATGAATTATTATTTTTTTCAAATCACACACACACACACTAAAGGCTTTGTTCCTGCTTAGTTCAGTGGGTTGGTTTACTTAAATGTTTTGTGTTTTCAATTTTAAATACCTTTATGTTTTTGTTTTTTGATTTGACACTAGTAACTAGTGTGATGCGTCTAGTCCTCTCTTTGGTGCAGACTGAATTCTATCAGTCAGGTTTGCAATGTGGCCACCATTCTAGGTAGCTCACTATCACGGTGTACATTGTTTGTGATGATATTAGATGGTTGGAGGCAATCGGCAGGAAGCCTTCGACCTAGGTTTCGTGCTAGTCGGCACTCGTCAGCGGGTTTGAATCACAGAAGGGACATGAGTTCCTTCAAGGTTGCAGGCACGCCTTACTGACGAGTGCCAACTAGCACGAAACCTAGGTCCAAGGCTTCCTGCCGATTGCCTCCAACCATCTAATATCATTACTTTATGTTCTGAGAGGAATTTAGGTCCTCCTGCTAGTGATCTAAAGTTCTTGTAGCTGTGGTTTTATTTTTGTGCGGCTAGGTTATTAGAGCCACACTCAACCTTCTCATGTTAACGGACTTATTTAACGGCTTAGCGAGATTTAGGAGCCCGTTGGCTAGGGATCGAATCCCAGACCATATTTGTGATTGGCTAGAGTTCTACCACTGAACCACTGGCGTACATCTGTTTCAGCATGTGCCACTTGCAGCAGAATCCACAGAGTAGGCGTTTCTTTGCATTTGACACTCATTATGGTTGAATGTTGTTGTCCTCACTGATAACTGAACGCAGTACTGACCACTATAAATGACAAATCGTTATTGACTAGGCTACTAGAGATTGTGAAGCACTTCTTCTGGATTCTTCTTCTAGCCTCTAGAGAACAATCCGCGTCAGTTAAGGAATTCTGGTAAAATATTGATAAGTCCATTCAAGGAGGCCTTAAAACAAACTTTATAATAATTATTATTATCAACAAGATATTGATTTAACACAACTTTTCCTAAGCACACACACTTTAAAGTCTGAGTAAGTTTCCTTCTCACGGATAATGGTTGTTATGAATTAAAGTCATCCTCTGAAATAAACACTTTGTATTAATAATTTGGCTAATAGGCGAATTATGCTCAATTGTTCATGTCGGTTAGAGTCATCTGTAAACTCTATTACAGATAAGATATTATTTTGACAAATGACACAGTGTTTGTTATACAGTTATATTAACTGATGACCACCACGTTTCGAGCACAATTAATTGCCACTGATAATCATATCAAGTCACTCACTCACACAACTTTTTACCTTCGTTTATTTACATGAGTGAAATTGATGATTAGACATTTGAATAAAAATCAACCAATATAGGATAATGTACATTCAGAAATAATAATAATATGAGTGTGATTGATCAAATACAATCAGATGGGAAAGAAGATGCTTTTTACAGGCATCTACTGCTACACCCTACCTACGTAGGATTCTGAATAAAGCAGCAATCAGGGTGGCATTCAAACCTACAAACTCACTCAGAGAGAAGCTCTGTAGGCTACAGGACCCTGTGCATGCAATTAAACAAAATAATAATATGATTTACAAAAATACCTTGCAATGACTGTGATTGAGGTCAACTACATAGGTCAAACTAGTGGATGGGGGATAGTCAGATTGTTGGAACATAAGAATTTGGCTAAGGTAAGAATGGTTGACCCAGAGAAGATGAGTAATTTAGAAAAAATCTCAGCGATTGCCCTGCATGAGTTAACACACAACGACACAATAGTCTGGGTGGGACAGAGTCAAAATGCCCAAAGTAATATAAATAGGTGGAGAGTGAGAGAGATTGATTACTGAATCCTGCTTGGTTCATCGTGTCTACACCCAACACATGCAACAGAAATGACTCAATGCAAATACCAGAGATATACATGGAAGATATTATTACCACCAGTCAGTCAGTCAAATCAGAGGAGGATAATAAATAATCTGCAAATTCTATTTCAATTCACGTACATTGACTATAAAAACAGTCGTCTTATTTCCCATCTGATTGTAATTGATGAATCACACTCGTTATTATTACTTCTGAATGTACATTATCCTATATTGGTTGATTTTTATTCAAATGTCTAATCATCAATTCCACTCATGTATATAAATGGAGCGAGATAGTTGTGTTAGTGAGTGTCTTGATATGGTTGTGAGTGGCTATAGTTTGTGCTCGAAACGTGGATGTCATCAGTTAATGTTGCTGTATAACATTGTGTGATTTATCAAAATAAATCTTATCCATAATGGAGTTATACTCTACCGCCACAATGCCCAAGTTTTATACTTATATGATCTGTGAACTAACTTCAGTGATTCAAATTCTACTTTTTTGGTGGCATATTCACTTAACTGTTTCATAAAATTCAAAATGTATATCCCGCCTCAGAAAGATTTCCAGTATCTGTCAAAATGATTGAGCTGAAGGGAAATATATACTTATATGCCTAAAAGTATATACTACTGATTGGCTGAATTGAGTAGTTGTTTGCCATCAGCGTTTTCTATCTAAATCATGGAAGTGATCTGAAAATCGGACAGGCGTTTTATCTCCCTTGCGGCTGAGCTTATCAGCCATGCACTTAGTATGACTTAGCTCAGACAGTCGAATCATTTCAAACCATCCGATTTCTGGCTACTTACTTAGGCGAACTGGTAACTATCCTGAAATCCCACCTCGAAATGGAACAGGAAGTGAACTGAGTGAGATGAATACCTAATGATAACTTTATCCCTGAAATATCTCCTTCATGTAAGACGCAGAGTAGAAAGCAGAGACAATACATACTTTACTTCGCACCCATCTTGAATAACAAAATATATTTAAGACCAAAACTCCAGTTAGCCAGCTCAGTGACAACCCCAGTGACTTCAGCAGTTGATGATACGGCTTGAAATCTAAGAGGAGTGCAGGTAACCTTGCTTAGGAGTATCGGTAAACATAAAACTTAAATCGAAAGCTTCCGCTCAATTACCCTCAACCATTGAACAACACTTTATGAAATACCCTTTTGTCTTCCTGGCATAACACAATTAGCGAGAAGTGTTTTTTATTTAAACAATGTTTTATCTTTATCTTTTTATTTCATACCAAGTTAAAGTGTCCTCAGATTTTTCTTCAAGTGAGTATTCATACTCTTATCAGATGGAGTGTTTATAGTAAAAGCACATACCGTGTTAAAAAGTAAAGATCTGGTGAACAGTGTTCGTTTCTTTTTCTGTTCTTAATATTAATTTGTTTTGTAAGCACACTGTTATGGAGGTTCCCATAGTTCTTGTTTTGGTATCTGATGAACGCATTCATTTCACTACACAGTACAAATCCCCTCCATTATCTGATCGAATAGATTCAACTAAATTTTGTTAAAAAACGCACAAACATCAATATGTTGTCAAGTTGTCTGTCAGTAGTCTGGACCTTAGATTCATTGTTATATTCTTTAGCTGATTTGTAAGGATTAGTGTTGTTTTTATGAGATGATCACGGATTGATATCGGTTAGAGAACCATTGAAGGGAGTACTAGATAGCTGCTCCATCCTAGTTTGGAAATCATCGATAGTACACACCTACCACCAGGTACCGAACCTAGGACCTTCCGGTTACAATTCAGGAGAGCTCCTATACCATTCAGACACTAGGGCCTTATTCAGTGGCCAGTGCATGAATTCTAACTTCTACCAATTCGTGATTTAGCGTGAACACCAGTCAATGTCATCGGTGGGACATCCATTCTCAAACTTGACTGGGTGGAGCTCACTGGTTACGACTTCTCACTAGAACTCCAGGAAACTCCATCCTGTAGCTTGCCTTGTAGTTGGAAGGTCCTGCGTTCGAGACCTGGCGGTGAGTGAGTACTGCTGATGATTCCAGAAAAAAACAAAACAAGGATGGAACAGCGATCCAGTACTCCCTGGCTTTCATTGCTTTTTGTTTTTTCAACGTTCTCTAACTGAAATCATCTCATGACCAAAGTTGAAAAAAATCAAATCCCTTCAGATAAACTCTTGAAAAGGAGTCTGATGCTCTATAGTTACTGAATACACCACTAAGTTGCCTTGAGTCGTAGTGAGAAGTTTTAACCAAAAGGGGCAATGAGGTCAGCTGTGAGGGTAAATACTCTCTCATGACATTCACAGGGCGTCAAACGAAAATCATGAGTTAGTAGAAGTTGATATTCATGGGCCGTGGGATCAGGTCACAGTGACTAGTTGGTCTATGAGCTTTTCATGGGTGGGTGCTGTTGACTAGGATGAAACAGCCGTTCTCTAACTGATGTAGGCTCGTGTCCACCCTTGAATTATTGGTTACCAGTTAAATGTGCACCTTTGAGTTGTAACTTCTCACCGAAAACGTTTTCCTAATTTCTTTTTAAATATTAGCCTTACAAATTAATTTCTTACGTTTATCACGGAAACCAAATGAACAAATTAAGACACTGTTTAATAATTATGAAGAGTACTCCCTATTTTTCCCCAGCTAATCAAAGCCATAATCTGAATTTTGTTTCAGGCTATGTTAATTCAGACTTAATAACTAATTTGTTAAGTATTTTGCCTCGGTACATTTTGTCACTTGTGAATAATGTTCGAAGTTAGACAGAAACAACAAAAGTACTAATACATTAGGCTCCAGAATATACAGGTAGGGCTGTCTGCATAAATGCCTTTAACGTAAATTTTGATAAATTACTATGTTGGCTTTTTAAAAAACAACAATTTCATTAATAATTGTATTAATTATTGTTTGCAGAAGAGAAAAAAAAGTTTTTTGTAGGACTTTAGGCTTCACACATTACTAACCCTCTTTACTGGGCCACACACTACACACTAAGCAGATTTCAGGAGTGCGTCGCAGAGATTTGAA